GCTCTCAGGCTTTCTCCTAAGGTCTGGATCCCTCCAGGAAAGATTTTGGCCTCAGGAATTTGGGGGTTGGACTGGCCTGGGAGCCGGGCCCAGGAAAGATGCTGGTCTAGGGCAGCTGGTGGCCATGTCACCCAGAGATGCAAAGGAAGATGGGGGCAGGAAGAAGCCCCGAGGGCTTCTGGGGACTGCACTGAAGAGCTGGGTTGGTCTGGATGCAAAGGATGAGGAAGAGGAAAGATCAGCCCCCTGTCCAGGAAAGAGGCTGTCTGGTCGTGCAGGCCAAGGGAAGTAGAGGGAGGTGAGGGCAAGGCTGAGCCCAGAGTGCTCCTGGGGACCCGAGAAGGAACTGAGCTGGTCTGGGTGCAGAGGATCAGGAAGCAGTGGTGGTTCCCCAGGTGTCTGGGGCGCCAAGACAAGGAATGGGACAGGACCCAGGCTAGGAGGAGAGATGGGCCAGGGAGATGGGAGGGTGAATGAGGTTGGGGGAGTTAAGGCATGGAGGGCATGATCGACTTACCCCGAAGAGAGGCCTGTGGGTTGCAGAGAGGCCTGTGGGTCATCTAGGCCCAGGGAAGCAGAGGGAGATGAGGGCAGGGGCCAGGCCCAGAGGGCTCCTCGGGATCCGAGAAGGAACTGAGTTGGTCTGGATGCAAAGAATCAGGAAGCAGTGGTGGTTCCCCCATCCTGCCGTAAAAAGTTTTAAAAAGGAAAAAAGGGTGAAAATGGATAACCAGTCCCACAAAGTTGTCCTCTGACCTCCATATGCATGCTGTGGTAGGCCTGCACTGACACATACACATATGCACAATAATAAGTAAATATGTTTTTACTTATGCAAGCATGAGGACCTGATTTTTAATCTCCAGAAGCCACATATAAGGGCATGGTGGTGTAGGTCTGTAATTCCAGTGTTCCTTCAGTTAGATGGAAGGAAGAGAAAGGAGATTCCCCAGAAGTTTCAGACCAGCTGACCAGCTAGCCTGGCATAACCAGCAGTGAACAGCAAAGAGACACCCTGTCTCAAACAAGGTGGCGATGAGAACTGAAACCTGAGGTTGTCTTCTGACGTCCACACACATACTGTGGTATACCCACAGACACCAACCCCTACCCCCACCACCATGAACACATCACACACATTTAAAATCCAAGGCTGGGGACATAACTTAGTTGGTAGAGTGCTTGGTTAGTATGTACAAAGTCTTGAGTTTGATCTCTAGCACTGTATAAACAGGGCATGGTGTTGTAAATCTGTAATCCAAGCACTTGGGAGGTAGAGGTAGAAGGATCAAAAGTTCAAGTCCATCCTTTGCTATACAGGAAGTTTGAGGCTAACTTTGACTAGACACCTTTTCTGAAACAAAACAAAACAAGACTACAACATAAGGGGTTGGAGAGATAGCTCAGTTGGTAAAGTGCTTGGTGTACAAGCATGTGGACCTGAGTTCAATCCTCAGCACCTATGTAGAAAGCTAAGCAGGATGCACAAGCCTGCAATTCCATCACCATGGAGGTGGAGACAGGCAGATCCCTTGAACCCGCTGGCCAGCTAGTCTAACTTAATCAGCAAGCCCCAAATCCTAGTGAGAGTCTCTGCCTAAAAAAAAAATGAAGTAATAGTTCTTGAGGAACAACACCTGAGGTTGACCTCTGATTTCCTCACACTTGTTCTCTTGTTTATTATTTAAAAATATATATAAATAAATAAATACATAAATAAATAAATGATTTATGCCAGAGTCAGGCATGGTGGTATAAGCCTGTAACCCCTGCAGTCAGGAGGCTGGGGCAAAAGGATCATGAGTCTGAAGCTAGCCTGGGCTACATAGTGAGACCTCCCCCAAACCCATGCAAAAAGTGAAATGTATGAGCCAGTGGGTTTAGTGTGTTCCCAAGGTTATACAGTTGTCATTGCTGCCAAATTCTAGATCATTTCCATTACCCATTAACAGTCACTTCCCATTCTCCCCTCCACCCATCCACTGATCTATTCTCTGGCTTTGGATTTGCCCATTATGAACATTTCATATCAAAGGAAGTATATAGTGTGGGGGTGGGGTGGCCTTCCACAAGCAAGTTCGGGGGAATAGAGAAAAGGCTTTCCTGGTCCTGGCCAAGCATCTCTTTCTTTGCACTCTATTCTCTCTCCTCTTTTGGGACTGGGCCCCTCTAAGTGGAAAAGAGGTAGTAACAGTTTTTGCAACTCTTCCTGGCACATTTGTCCTGTAATACAGGTCAGCAAGACTGGAGCAGAGGGTGCTGTGCTGGATGAAGCAAAGAACATCAACAAGTCACTGTCGGCCCTGGGGAACGTGATCTCTGCACTGGCTGAAGGCACTGTAAGTGTTCCTTAGTCACCTTCACCCCTCAACCTCTGCCCCATCTCCGACCTTCTAACCTGTCCTCTAATCATGCCCCAACTCTTGGGCTGCTTAATCCCCACTCAGCAACTCTATCCTTTGTTTCTCTGTTTAATTAATTATTTTCATTCGTGGTCTGCCCCAGAAAAGCTACGTCCCATATCGTGACAGCAAAATGACACGGATTCTCCAGGACTCTCTGGGGGGAAACTGCAGGACGACCATGTTCATCTGCTGCTCACCGTCCAGCTACAATGATGCAGAGACCAAGTCCACCCTGATGTTTGGGCAGCGGTCAGTGGCAGGGTTCCCAGAAGGGTTCCTGGTGCCCAGCTCCTGACTCAGCCCTTGCGCTTCTTTCTTCCTAGTATCACCCAAGGCCAATGCAAATCTCATTTGCCCCTCTTCTCTTCAGAGCAAAGACCATTAAGAATACTGCCTCAGTGAATCTGGAATTGACCGCTGAGCAATGGAAGAAGAAATATGAGAAGGAGAAGGAGAAGACTAAGGCCCAGAAGGAGACGATTGCGAAGCTGGAGGCTGAGCTGAGCCGGTGGCGCAATGGTTAGAGGGAGATCCTGTGGGAGTGAGATGGGGTGGCTGAGGGACAGCCTTGTCTGAGAGTGCTTAAGGCCAGGTAGTCTTCAGGAAGGAAGTTTGTGTTTCTGGAGGGCTTCTATGGAGCAGTCATGAAAGAAGGGAGAGAGGAAACTGATTATCTGCTGTGACTCCCAAAAGGGGGAAGGTCCACTGAAGAAAGTATGAGGGGAGGCTGGAGAGATGGCTCAGTGATTAAGAGCACTGGCTACCCTTGCAGAGGACTCAGGTTCGGTTCCCAGCACATGGCAGCTAACAACCATCTATAACTCCAGTTCCAGGGGATCTGACACCTTCTTCTGGCCTCCATGGACACTGTGTGCACATGGTGCATTGCATACATATAGAAAAAATATTCTTACACATAAAATAAAAGTAAATGGGCTGGGTGTGGTGGCGCACGCCTGTTGTCCCAGCACTTGGGAGGCAGAGGCAGGTGGATCTCTGTGAGTTCAAGGCCAGCCTGGTCTACATAGTGAGTTCCAGGACAGCTGGGGCTACAGGGAGACCCTGCTTCAAAAAGACAAAAAAAAAAAAAAAAAAAAAAAAAAAAGTAAATAAAAAATATGTAAAAAGGCAGCCTAGGGGTGTGGAGATCCTGGTGCTGTGGAATGTGGCGGAAAGAACGTGTGTTGAGCTTTCTCTTCTCCATCTGTATTAGCTACTTTTCTCATTGCTGTGACAAAATGCCTGATGAAAGCAATTCAAGTAAAAAAGTCTTCATTTTGGCTTTCAATTGAGGGTATAGTTTATCGTGGCAGGGAAGGCATGGTGGCAGGAGTGTGAGGCAGCTGGTCACAGTGTCTGCAGTCAGGAAGCAGAGAGAGATGAATGCTAGTGCTCCACTTGTTTTATCCTTTTCATTCAGTCTAGAACCCCAGTCCATAGAAGGTAGGTTGCATATGCCCACTTCAACTAACCCAATCTGGGAGCTCCCTCATAGACATGCCCAGAGGTTTGTCTCCTAGGTGATTCTGGATACTGTCAAGTTGGCAATATTAACCATCACATCATCCTCCTCTCCTTCTGCTGCTCTGCCAGGAGAAAATGTGCCTGAGACTGAGCGTCTGGCTGGGGAGGATTCAGCTCTGGGAGGTGAGATTTGTGAGGAGACCCCTGTGAATGATAACTCATCCATTGTGGTACGCATTGCACCTGAGGAGAGGCAGAAATATGAGGAGGAGATCCGCCGCCTCTACAAGCAGCTTGACGACAAGGTGAGGGAGGGCAGCTGGGCAGGGTGTTGTGGACTCAGAGATGAGGTTACAAAAGTTAGCCTATGGCTGGCGAGAGGCTCAGTGGGTAAAGGCGCTTGCTGCCAAGTCTGATGACCTAAGTTCCATCACCAGTGACCCACATGGTGGAAGCAGAGAACTAACTCCTGAAAGTTTTTTCAACCTTGTGCATATGCTATGGCATCTACCCACACATACATACATACACACACTCTAGATAGATAGATAGATGATAGATAGATGATAGATAGATAGATAGATAGATGATAGATGATAGATAGATGATA